ATACCCCCTCCTCCTTCAAACCCAGCAGCTTCTCATACATCAAATGCAGTAACTCCGCATGCTGCCACTGCAGCAGCTCCTCATACTTCCACTACAGCAGCTCCTCATACTGCCACAACAGCCGCTCCTCATACTGCCACTGCAGCAGCTCCTCATACTGCCACTGCAGCAGCTCCTCATACTGCCACCACAGCCGCTCCCCCTGCTGCCCCCGCCGCCCTCCTCATACTTCCACTACAGCAGCTCCTCATACTGCCACAACAGCCGCTCCTCATACTGCCACTGCAGCAGCTCCTCATACTGCCACTGCAGCAGCTCCTCATACTGCCACAACAGCCGCTCCTCATGCTGCCACTGCAGCCGCTCCTCATACTGCCACAACAGCAGCTCCTCATACTGCCACTGCAGCCGCTCCTTATACTGCCACTACATCCGCTGCTCATACTTCAAACACAGCAACTCCTCCTACTTCAACTACACTAACTCCTCCTACTTCCACCACAGCAGCTTCTCGTGCATCAACTACACTAACTCCTCCTACTTCAAACACAGCAGCTTCTCGTAGTTCAACTACACTAACTCCTCCTACTTCAAACACAGCAGCTTCCCGTAGTTCAACTACACTAACTCCTCCTCCTTCCTCTACAGCAGCTTCTCGTGCATCAACTACAGTAACTCCTCTTACTTCAACTGCACTAACTCCTCCTACTGCAACCACAGCAGCTTCCCGTAGTTCAACTACACTAACTCCTCCTACTTCCACTACAGCAGCTTCTCGTGCATCAACTACAGTAACTCCCCCTACTTCAACTGCACTAATTCCTCCTACTTCAACCACAGCAGCTTCCCGTAGTGCAACTACACTAACTCCTCCTACTTCAACTACACTAACCCCTCCTACTTCAACTACACTAACTCCTCCCACTTCAACCACAGCAACTCCTCCTACTTCAACTGCACTAACTCCTCCTAAGCCTCCTACTTCAACCACAGCTAGTTCAAGTACAGTAACTCTGCCTACTTCAACCACAGCAACTCCTCCTACTTCAACCACAGCAGCTTCCCGTAGTTCAGCTACATTAACTCCTCCTCCTACTTCCACTACAGCAGCTTCTCGTGCATCAACTACAGTAACTCCCCCTACTTCAACTGCACTAATTCCTCCTACTTCAACCACAGCAGCTTCCCGTAGTTCAACTACACTAACTCCTCCTACTTTAACTGCACTGATTCCTCCTACTGCAACCACAGCAGCTTCCCGTAGTTCAACTACACTAACTCCTCCTACTTCCACTACAGCAGCTTCTCGTGCATCAACTACAGTAACTCCCCCTACTTCAACTGCACTAATTCCTCCTACTTCAACCACAGCAGCTTCCCGTAGTGCAACTACACTAACTCCTCCTACTTCAACTACACTAACCCCTCCTACTTCAACTACACTAACTCCTCCCACTTCAACCACAGCAACTCCTCCTACTTCAACTGCACTAACTCCTCCTACTTCCACCACAGCAGCTTCCCATAGTTCAAGTACAGTAACTCTGCCTACTTCAACCACAGCAGCTTCTCGTAGTTCAACTACACTAACTCCTCCTACTTCAAACACAGCAGCTTCCCGTAGTTCAACTACACTAACTCCTCCTCCTTCCTCTACAGCAGCTTCTCGTGCATCAACTACAGTAACTCCTCTTACTTCAACTGCACTAACTCCTCCTACTGCAACCACAGCAGCTTCCCGTAGTTCAACTACACTAACTCCTCCTACTTCCACTACAGCAGCTTCTCGTGCATCAACTACAGTAACTCCTCCTACTTCAACTGCACTAACTCCTCCTACTTCAACCACAGCAGCTTCCCGTAGTTCAACTACACTAACTCCTCCTACTTCAACCACAGCAGCTTCCCTTAGTTCAACTACACTAACTCCTCCTACTTCAAACACAGCAGCTTCTCGTAGTTCAACTACACTAACTCCTCCAACTTTCACTACAGCAGCTTCTCGTGCATCAACTACAGTAACTCCTCCTACTTCAACTACACTAACTCCTCCTACTTCAACCACAGCAGCGTCTCGTAGTTCAACTACACTAACTCCTCCTACTTCAACCACAGCAGCTTCCCGTAGTTCAGCTACATTAACTCCTCCTCCTACTTCCACTACAGCAGCTTCTCGTGCATCAACTACAGTAACTCCCCCTACTTCAACTGCACTAATTCCTCCTACTTCAACCACAGCAGCTTCCCGTAGTGCAACTACACTAACTCCTCCTACTTCAACTACACTAACCCCTCCTACTTCAACTACACTAACTCCTCCCACTTCAACCACAGCAACTCCTCCTACTTCAACTGCACTAACTCCTCCTACTTCCACCACAGCAGCTTCCCATAGTTCAAGTACAGTAACTCTGCCTACTTCAACCACAGCAGCTTCTTGTAGTGCAACTACACTAACTCCTCCTACTTCAACTACACTAACTCCTCCCACTTCAACCACAGCAACTTCTCCTACTTCAACTGCACTAACTCCTCCTACTTCAAACACAGCAGCTTCCCGTAGTGCAACTACAATAACTCCTCCTACTTCAACCACAGCACCTTCCCGTAGTTCAACTACACTAACCCCTCCTACTTCAACTACACTAACTCCTCCCACTTCAACCACAGCAACTTCTCCTACTTCAACTGCACTAACTCCTCCTACTTTAAACACAGCAGCTTCCCGTAGTGCAACTACAATAACTCCTCCTACTTCAACCACAGCAACTCCTCCTACTTCAACCACAGCAGCTTCCCGTAGTTCAACTACACTAACTCCTCCTACTTCAACTACACTAACCCCTCCTACTTCCACCACACTAACTCCTCCTACTGCAACCACAGCAGCTTCCCGTAGTTCAACTACACTAACTCCTCCTACTTCAACCACAAGTACAGTAACTCTGCCTACTCAACCACAGCAACTCCTCCTACTTCAACCACAGCAGCTTCTCGTACTTCAACTACACTAACTCTTCCTACTTCAACCACAGCAGTTTCCCGTAGTTCAGCTACATTAACTCCTCCTCTTACTTCCACTACAGCAGCTTCCCGTAGTTCAACTACACTAACTCCACCTATTTCAACCACAGCAACTCCTCGTACTTCAACTACACTAACTCCTGCTACTTCAGCCACAGCAACTCCTCCTACATCAACTACACTAACTCCGCCTACTTCAACTGCACTATCTCCTCTTATTTCCACTACAGCAGCTTCTCAAGCTTTAGCTACAGTAACTTCTCCTACTTCAAACACAGCAGCTTCTTGTATTTCAACTGCAGTAACTCCTCATACTTCAACTACAATAACTTCTCCTACTTCCACCATAGTTACTCCTCGTACTTCAGCCACAGCAGCAAAGACACTCCAGTCCAAGCTCAAGTTCTTCCAGTCAGATACCACCACTAACAATGAAGAGAAAAAAACTACCACCGTCAACATGGATGTAAATAAACGGCCCAATGCTGTTGGTAAGGTACAGGAGGCCCCCGGAGGTCAGACTATGACTGTAAATGTCAGTGCTGCTGGCAGAAGGGAAGCAAGTGTGACCGGAGATAAGGAGAGAGCTAAAGCTGCTGGTGGAGGTGATAAGGTGAGTTGGAGACAGCAGGAAAATCAGAGTGATAAGACAAAAGCATCACCAGAGGACAACAGTAATCCACCGTGGATGAATGTAGCTCTGAAGAAGACGGATGTGAAGTAAGTAACCTCACACACACACACACAACCTTTATATCCTGCGTTGGACTGACCTCTACTGGTCAATGATGATATTTAATAATACTTCCATCACCTACTCTACTGTGTAATCAGACCTGAGTCTCAAGTTGTGACCCCTAAGAGGGAGCCAGGGGCTGCCAGAGTTAGAGTGAGACTGAAAGCAGACCCCACGATCCTTGCTGATCTGAAGTCTCCGGACTCCTCGAGCAATGCTCCGACCCCAGCCGTCAGGAGCGGACTGGGAGACAGAACCCCAGACAAAGCGGGCTCTCACCCTGGTGGTGCATCACCCAACACTTCAGGTTAAAGTCACGCACTTTCATAATTGTGCACAGAAACGGCTTCAGACTTTTTAAAATTTCCCCGCAGAGTGACTCCTGGTCTGATCTTTTTACAGATGTGTGAACAAATCAAACTGGATTTTTTTCAGATCTGATCTGGGCCTCTTCCATATGTGGTCCACTTTAACTGTTCAGTTGAGAAAATTTTAATTCAGATGGATAACAAATAGCTGCAGCACTAACTTAAAAGACAAGATATTTGATATGTGCATTAATTTCTGTGGCTCATTAGATTTACTGAGAGTGTGGGTATATTACTGGATAGGTGCCCTTTCATTCCAGGGAAAGTTTCTCACCAAGTGCATATGTCAAAGATGTTTCTCTTCTGTGTTTTGCTCACTGTCCACCAATAGTCTCTTCTACTAGGGCTCAACATTCAGACAACATCACCAATAAGACAAGTTTTTTAGGGTCTCGGAAGGTTTTATTATAAAGATCAAAGGTGTCCTCAACAGTTTTACAGTCGCTTGTGACAAAGTATTCTGAGCTCAAAAGTCCTGTTGTTTTTCTGAGCTTTCAGATTTATCTTGCAGTCCTTTTTTGTGCAATCTGGATGAAATCTCCAAAACATTTTTAAGTGGACCTTTTTTGAGTTGCCATTATTTTGCTTAAAACCGTTGAGAATAAATATTCACGCTAAACATTTTACCCACTTGTTTGTTAGTATAATTCTTTGGGGAAAATACTGTTTTTGTTGCACAGGATTTTTAATCTCAAAAACCGGGAAAGATTAAAAATTGTAAATGCAAATTGCCCAGCAGTATAATTAATGCATGACTCAGAGGCTCCTTTGACACCTTCTTGTCAGTGTATGGTTATCCCATTACTTTACCCTGTGCACTTGCTCCTGTGTTTGTTCACCTAGCAGCAGGTTAATGTTGGTGTGTTTGATTTAGTTGTTGGTGGCAAATGCCATGTCTTTATAACAAACGGGAACTGACATTAGAAAGTAAATGGTACATTGTTGTGTTGGAGGGACTAAAGACCCTGTTCCACCGCCTGGTACCGGCTCAACTCGACTGTCCTTATTTGTGGTTCCATCAGTCAAATGTTGGGGAAATACTTTTAGTATCACCTCCGTCCAGGTTCCAAGCGAGCAGAGGTGATACCAACACTGCAGACTAGCAAGCAGTTGGTCAGAGAAATTGCGCCATCAACATGTGAGACGTCGTGAGAGTTTTTAAAAGCAATGTTATTTAACACTAACCTCTACTTTACTGTAGTTACTGTACTAACTAAAAACAGCCACATACAGGGAATCAAGGACGGCATGCCTTCAATGTCCTCCATTGTTTCTGTGTTGCCGATGATGCCGCAGCAGTGTAATGTGGTATTGCTATGACAACCGGCTACATTGAGAGGGGACCATCTGCAGTGGAAAACCAAGCACCTGGTACCAAAAGGGAGTAAAGTTGAGTCGAGTTGAGCCAGTACCAGGGGCCTAAGGTTGGAAGTGCAAAACACTGAAGTTTCAACTGATTTCTTTGTCCTCAGCAGCATCAGAAAAGAAGTCTCCTGCAGACTGGAGGTCGAAACTCAAACCTGTCACCAAAGAAACAAAGTAAGACTTGTTTTATTGACCTTGATTTGCTCTGTACTGTCACTGTATTCTGTGTTACTTCCTATCCCTTATTGTATGTTTGGAACTTCATAACAACAGGGCGTATTTCTATGTGGATGGATTCACAGCATCAGACAGTAACTGTATGGGCCCCTCTTCTCTTTGTGTTCCTGTCCATCCATCCATCCTTTTCTTTCATCCATCTCTCCAACCATTCCTCCCACAGGAAGCCTCTACCTGCTGCTCTTCCAAATGGCTCAGCCATGATTTGTAGTCAGAGTTTTCAGTGTCTCCTCTTCCGCCACATGCATGTGCGCTCCAAAGGGTGTCAAGACTGAGTAGTGTCCTCCGTGGTGCGACATATGCTCAGTGCTCAGAGTTCCTTTCCCCAGATGACCTTTTCCTCTCGCTCTCATGAATCAAAACTAAGGACTGTAGTGAGACAGAGGGTACTAATTAAAGTGGCAGATAAATCACTAATGAAGACAGTAAATTCTCTCTTTCTGTTCATTCTCCATCCATCCATAGACCTGTTGGTCCTTCACAGTCCGAGAAACCATACTCGAATGGTGCTGAAAAGTCACAGACATCAGAGCTTTCTACTGGGCCTTCCTCCTCTACTGTTCCCAGCCCCATTTTTGTCACTGCACCGGGCTCAAAGGGTAAGAACAGGGTTTCCTGTATTGTAATGATGTTATGTTAAATGATGAGCCAGACAAAGACAAAAATACTCTCATACTGCAATCTCATTCCCACTTCTTTCTATACAGATAAAAGATAAATTTTCCTTAGCATTGTCTAAATATGTTGCTTCCCCTCCCGTCTTTTTTCTTATTTTTCTTTCTGTATTTATTTTCTGTTTTTTCTCTTTTCTTTTTCAGGAGTTCAGAATCGTCAGAAAGACATATCTGCTAGTGACAAGAACATTTCCAAGGTTTTTAAAAATCATTTTAAATTGAATCCTTCTGATGTTATTTTTCAATCAAAATGAGGATTTAGAAGATGACACCTTGAGCCACTGCATGTTAACTGTCATAATGCAGCATCATTGTAAAACAGTAGCTACAGCAAAGCACTTTAGCTGACAAGCTAAAGCTAACTGAGTCAGCTAGCTAACGCAAATTAGGCAATTAAATGTGTTTGAAGACCAAAATAATTGGAAAGCTAAGTAGCTGATAAATAAAATGAGTTAGTGGAAGATAAATAGAAGGCTAGCATAAAGTTAGACATTTAAAAAATGTTTTTCATCTACTAATTTGTGACGGTATATGTTCACCTGTGTCGTTGTTTCTGTCTTTGTTTGCATGTGTTTACTTATGTCTGTGTGATATGTGAAGATGAAGCCAGGCTACATTCCCACAGAAGACCTCATAAAGGAGCTTCAGGAGATTGAAGATAATTTGAATGAATGGGAGAGGAGGGGAGTCGAGCTGGAGATGAAGCTCCGCTCCAGTGAGGAAGGTGTGATAAACAAAGCTATACAGTTTAGTAACATGGTGTGAAAAATGGTACGTTTAGAGGAAGGAGTGTGTCTGGGATTAACTGTGTTTGTGTGTCAGAGGGGGAAGATGACTCTCTCATGGATGAACTCATGGTTGAGTGGTTCAGCTTGATCAGGAACAAGCAGGTGGCCATTCGCCGGGAATCTGAACTGGTCTACATGTGAGTACTCACACATATGCATGAACAAAAGGACACGCCACTATTTAGTGATTAACGAGACAGACTTGTGGCCAGAAGGTTGACAGTTTGAATTCCCAGTGTCCTCCCTCCTCCGTCCCTCAGCGGGATGTCCTGGAACAAGACAGCTCACCCCCGACGGGCTGTAGAGGACAGAGAATTGAGAAGCGCATGCTGCTTTAAAGCACAAATACTCTGCAGTTATTCCATATTCCTTTCATACTTTAACATTGTATTAAAATAGAGTACACTTAAAGATCTTACACTGTACATCCATCATCGCCCTGCTGTGCCTAATCTCGTATGACCTGGTAGGCTAAGCAGAGTTGGGCCTAGTTATTAGTTGGATGGGGGCTATCTAGAAATACAGGGTTACACCCAGCCACTCTACAGTAAGTCCTGGATAAAATGGGAGGGTCACATCAGGAAGGGCATCCAGTGTAAAAACCTGTGCCAACTTACATATGCAGATTGTAGATCCGCTGGGGCGACCCCCGTTGGGAGCGACCCTCGTTGGGAGAGACGGAAAAATGTAGCACATCAAAGTTCTGGTTATGGTAGGATTTGCTCAAATGAGTCAGACTTGTGTCCTCAGTTTTGTCCACTTCAGTTCATCATATTGGGGCTACCCGATGACTGAAAGTCAAAATGTTGGCGTGGCAGCTTGACCATCAAATCATTCTGTGGTATATAATCTTTTGTACTAGTATTACTCCTCGGCTTACACACCTGATACTAAGAGGTTTGTTTTGGGCAGGTGCGTGCACTTTTCTTAACAGATCTATGGTAAATGCACCACAGCTACAGTAATTTGCTAAAAGTTACACACGTTATGAAATTGACAAGCATGTGTTTGTGGGCTGTCATTCAAAAATAGTACCAAATCTAGTGAAAACTTGTAGTATCTAGTGAAGATTTGTAATGTTCTTAAGCCACTTAGTAGCTTTTGTCTGACTGTTCAATTCCATTGAAAATGTTTAGGCACTAATAGCTACAGCTCATATGAATAGATGCATGTCGAACCAAGGAGCTGACATCATGCAGTTCTTAGTGCTAATAACAAACACAATAAACAATTTTATTTTATATTTGTGTGCTTTTTTATGTAGAGGGAAAACTCAGGACCTGGAGAAAGAGCAGCCTAATGTTGAGCAGGAACTCAGGAGACTGATGGAAAAACCAGGTGAGGCCTTCAGGAAAACACATTTAACACAAAACCCACCAGAAACAGACCTTTGATGTCAGAATAAAATATATTTGTGTGTTTTCAGAACATCTGAAAACTGCCTACGACCACAAGAGGGAAGAGCAGCTGATGGCCAAACTGCTGGAGATCGTCAATGACAGAAACGCCATTATAGAGGGTCTGGATGAGGACAGACTCAGGTGTGTTTTTAGGCAGATCACACTGTGTAGTGCATGAAAGTCAGGATTTGATGGTGGTGAACAGTGCAGGACTTGTAGCTCTTTTTACACACTCAGTTTTCAGACAGTGATTCTTAACTAAGATGTTTTTAGAGCCAAACGGGCCAAATTGGTCACCTGACATCAGGACAGCGGGAAGTGAAAAGAGCTGCAGTACTAGAGCCTCTACCACAAAGCGAGATCTCTCTTTGGGATTAACTCAGGTTTTCTGGTACCATGAAGGGGACTCACCTTTAGCTGGGGTAGATCACCATGGTAACCAGGTAGATCAGCATGGCTGATCTACCTGAGGTGTTAAAGTAGCTCAGCAAGGATGTTTTACAAGTAAATCAAATAAGATGAGCAATAAAAATAATATACAGTACTGAACACCAAACAAGCTCGTAGCCAGATGGGAAAACCCAGAGTTAATGGAGTCGGCTGATAACCAGCTTTGTGATCCAGGACAGCCGACGTTGGGCTCAGTGAAGCCAGAGAACCCCAGGAGAGCCAGACTCGCTTCATGGCACAGGCCCCTGGTCTAAAAGAGAAACACCAGTAGCTTTCTGATGTCTGTGGATTGTCATTGACATTGACTGCAAATAGCAACTATTGCCAGTTTATTTGTCCATCAGAAATTGGGAATGTAAAGTGTCTGCATGTTAATCTCATAGTGCAGTAATACTAAAACTATCATTTGATGAATCAGTTACACATTTTTATAATGGTTTAGGTCAGGTATCAAGCAAAACTCTCAAATATTCACCATTTACAGCCGCTCAGGTTTGGGGATTTGTGATTTTATTAATTTTTTTATTTTCTGTTTTACATCACTGTAAAATGAATAGTTTTGGGTGTCGGACTGTTGCTCCGACAAAACTTGTGGAAATTGTGACGTGCATTTTTCACTTTATTCTGTCGTGGTAGATTATTATAATAATAATAAAAAGCAGATCAATATACAGTGTAATGCAGAAGTGATGAGTTTCCGCCCTTCCTCATAGCCACTGTTGTATGTCAAATCCAGTTTAGTGGAGTGCAGAGCCAAAACACCAAAATGTGTCACTACAGTATTGACAGAGTGCACTGCATGATGAAATACAGTATACCACATGTGTGCAGGTATGAACTGTTCCTGTGTGTTCTCGCTTCATTTTCTCAGGGAGGAAGAGGAGGATGAGGAACTGAACAAGATGATGATGAATTTCAGTGAGTGTCTCCATCACCTCCACAGGCCAACTGACTCGCCCCCTACCCACCACTCGCTGTGTTCGCACATCACATCACAACCTCAGTGTCACTGCAACTTGGTTGGCTTATAAATCATCTAATTGAGGATTTTCATCATGTAACTGGAGTAGATAGAATTCTCCTTGTGGTTTAGGGAAGTGTGCAAACTTTTAATGGTGCCACTGTGCTGTGCTTCTATGACATTTGATCTAATGAGTACTAATGGAAAAAGCATCAAACAAAATGCTCCCCCTCTTTTTGTCAGTGGCGTTCCTATTAAACAAATGGATAATGTAGCCAGTTAATTTGACCCCCTGATAGAATAGAGTTAAAGCCAGCTTCATTTGCAAGTCATGACTGGGAAAGCAGGGCTGAAATTGAGGAGACTTATTGAACTTCAGTGAAAGGTCATTATGTTGCAGCGAGTGAACGCCGGCCGTGGGCTAAAGCCTAGCCATTTCAATTTAATGTATTCATAAAGTTAATGCCTAAGTTTCACAGTTCATTCCCACTCAGTGGACAGTGATGTGATAGTTTGCACTTGTTGTATGGTGTGTGTTTCACATACTGTAGCACATTACTCCTTTTAAACGACAGAAACTACTCAGGCGTGTGTTAAGGACACCCAAGGAGGCCTCCGACAGACAGGTAACCCCTGTAACAACTCATCGATTGACAGAATAGTCAATGAAAATAATTATTAGCTGCAACCCTATATTAGTCCTCGGCTCTGTGAATAAGAAGAGTTTAGAGATGTTCCTCTGACGTTGCCTTCATATTAACATCATACAGATATTATGGATTTTTTTTTAGATCAGGAAGGTCACTTTCAGGTTTTCTTGAATTTTCCAGATGCCCCTAGTATAAGCTTTCCAAAGGAGAATTAACTAGAAATGTATTTATTAAGAAAAGTATATTAAGCACATGTTTATAGTGGTATAGTTGATAGTATAGTCACCAGTTGACCTAACCTGCACGTTTTTGGACTGCGGGAGGAACCTGGAGTACCCATACAAGAACATGCAAACTCCACACAGAAAGGCCCCGGTCAGCCAGTAGAGCAGGTTCGAACCTGGAACCTTTTTGTTGTGAGGCAGCCGTGCTATCCACTGCACCCCCGCCTTTAATTCTGATTTAAAATGGAAATACGTTTGGGATCACAGAGTATGGACTGAACTTCCAAGAGTTAGTAAAATGCAGCTTTTTGGCCAAACAGCAACTGCCAATAAACCTAGTTATGATCAGAAACAGAAATAACTCCAGCACCACAAATCACAGCACCTAAAGGACGACGGCAAAAAAAAAAAAAGCAACCTCTAGAACCACACTTGATTCTCTGATTCTCCAAGTGCACACTCAACGAGTGGGTTCAAGTAAAAATACTACAGAGCATTCAGTTTCTGGTTTATCAAACTCCAAGTTTGTTGTTGTTGTTTGTTTTTTTTTGTTTTGCAAAAACAGCATTTTAAAACCTGATTTTAATATTTACCTCTGTTCTCCTTTAACCAGCTCCCTCACTCTATCTGTCTTCCTCTCTGCCAGACATTAAGAAAGACAAACCAAAGAAAGCGTCTCCAAAGACCAAACTGTTTGGCTGGCTGAACAGGAAGGAAGTATGATGCTCCTGCAAACACACCAGGGACTCGTTCGTTGACGTGTCTGCTGCTCTTGTTGCAGTCTTACTGTCAGTGTACTCAGCCTGTGGCTCATGGGATACGGTGGATAAATGGATCGTCTGTATGTGTGAGTGTGTGTGATCTGTCGTGTTCTGTACTTTGAGAAAAACGCCCTTCCCTCTGTCGACTACATCACTTAGGATATGACGTACACGCGCGCACACACTGGCGATGCTGAGGGGTTAATGACTCACCAGCCGTGATGTGATTGGGTTCAGTGCTCCAGTTGTTACTTTTAATCCCCCTTCTAGTCTTAATCTGTCAACTTAATGCTCACACACACAAACACACATGGCCGTGTTGTATCTTCTTACTTGTACAGTGTATTGAAAAGTTGGGTGTATACATTAACACCAATGCTAATGGGAGTTAATAGAGAACAAGACTTGGCTGCTTCTTGCTCTTTGCTCATGTTTTTGTCCACACTTCAAAGTAACTAGTGACGTGTGACTAACTTCAGGGTCTCTGACCTTGTTGTTGTTGTTGTACATGTTGAACTGTATTTTTCTTTTAACCATAAATATCATGTTCTGTGTACCTTTGTTCAGAGCGCTGCTCTAAATATTACTTTTTAATGGCATTTTCTAAACTTGTGGTTCCCAACCTGGAGGTTGTGACCCTACCAAAAGGTCGGGGGACCTTTAAGATAAAAAAAAAACAACACCTGCTACACAGAATTATGAAACTTTATTCTAGAGTTTCCACAATATTTTTTTCTAGTCAGTTATTAAATAATTTTATCTGGCTGGGCTTGTAAGTATTCAGTTAAGAATCTGAGAAGGGTTAATCACCCTTTGGTCAAGGTTAACACAACCTGTATATATTTATATGCAATCTGCAACAAGGAGTGCATGTAGACATGGATTTATTTTTTTTAAAGCGCTACCACCCAGAAAGGCTTGGATCAATAGTTCAATCTGTACTTGATGCTTGAACATACTTGTAAGAAAACCACTGGACATCATATTTTGGTCATTTTTCCATCCTGTGGATATGTGACTGTCTTATCCGATCATGTCTTACTTGAATGTGTAGAGGATGTTTTTTTGTGGTAGAATAGAGGAAAAGAACAATTTTGGTTGGTGTCATGTGACTCATAGGTTTTATTAAGTATTCGTACTGAAAGCAAACTCAGTTGACCGAATATTTTGGGTTCTGGAAATGTAAGAACTGGTCCAAATTGGATCTGGATATGTACTGTACATGTTTTTAATATGTCTCAGCTGAATTTTAGTGCATCTGTATCACAATGTGTTTATTCTTGGAGAGGACGTCAGCAGGTTTTTATATTGCGATCAAACGGATCAGTTTCAGCAGAACTGGTTGGTAACAGGACTGTACAGTATATATGTTAATGTCCCCTTTACTCAGCTGTGTGTATTGTATGAGGTTAGCACTAATAACTGTGATTATGAAATGGATGATTTTAAATAAATAACTAATGAAAGTACCAGGATTTTATTAAAGATAAACATAATTAATGGATCATGGTGCTTTTTGTCTACTGGTATGAGTGTAGAGTAGTACATAACTGCTGCTTGATTTTTTAACCATGTTAACTCTATTGTTCATTTAAAGCTATGAACCTGCTCCAGTGCAGTTTCTCTGCGTGACCACTGGGAGGCAGCACGAGTCTTTTTGTGCCACTGGAGCCCTCAGAACATGAAACCTCCAGATCTTTGCTTCTTTTTTTTATTTATTTATTTTTTTTTACAAACACCAGATTGAAGGCTCTCACAGAAACACAGGAACACGTGGATTTATTTATTCCTCAGTTTAAACCTAAAAGAAAAGCCTTGGTTTTTCTTTCATTCCAACCAGATGTAGGAACCTCAGGAAGAGTAGTTGATGTCTTAATAAAATAAAATAAACAAGCCTCACTTTCTGTAGCATCACACTTAGTCTTTTTCTACTGAACATCTCTGTTTTTTGTCAGGCCTGACCAATAATAACAATAATGAAGTTAATAAACACTTTGTTGGAGAGTCCTAACAAGCCAGATACTTGAGCCAAACCAGTTCAAATCAATACCAATAACAATCCATTAGTCCTATTTAGAGAAGATTTTTATTTCGCTGTTCCACTGACACAAATTTCTATATTACAAACTGAAGAGAAACATGGTAACAGGTTTCAAAAGCAACTATGTGTTTTATAATTAAAATGATAGTTTATGAACCTATGCTTGTTTTTTAAATGAACAAAAGATCAAACCGTTATTTGTTAATATAGGAGTTGAGAGAAAGTAAGAACACTGGTATAAATTTTTAGAAGGATTGTTTTTCTCATCCTTATACTTGAATTCTAAGTTTTTGCCAGGACTGTTTAGACCAGGTCTGGATCCCCCCTTTTTAAATTAAATAATGCTAATAAGCCCCGGCTGCGAGTTCCTTTCATCACTATTATTTCTGACCTCAATAATGAAAGAACTGTAGATTGGTCCTATTGCAGAGATGAGATGTCAAAACAGAGAAAATACAATAATATGAATTCTTTTGGGTTTTGGTATTTTTCTGAATGTCGACATGTGTAAAATAGAAGTTTTGTTTTAGATGAAAAACTGAGCATCTTGTATTGTTACGTTTCAAAGATATGGGTGAGGAGTGAGAACATGTGCAGTAAAAGCTGCTACAACAAAACCACAGCACCAGAGAAGCTTTGAGGGACAAGGTCAAACGCACACATGCAAACACAAGATGCATTTACATGAGCAAAGATTAATACAATGGAGACAGAAAGGAGCAGGGAAATTGACTTTTAGCTTCTGGTTGTCTCTTTTTTAAACGTTTTTTTTAGTGAATATAAAACCATGTAATCTTTTCCTTTCTAGAGGCAGCACCTGTTCCTGTTGTTATGTGTGAAAGCGTCTGTTGATTCCTCCCTTAAAGCATGATAAAACGTTCCCTCACTGCACCTCTGTGTGTCTGAATCAATCATGTCTCCACTTAACTTCAGAACGTGTTTATCTTTGGGGTGAAAATGTGGCTTTAAGTCGACACAATAAGGGACATTTATAACGGAGAACACTGGGGTTTCAGTCTAAATATACCTTTGAGGTGATTCATTTACATAACGCAGTGGGCCCTCTCTCAGATTTTTAAACATTTTAGCGAGTTTCGCTGAAGCTTAGCTCTGTTCTTACTCAAACATTCACAGCTCATATCAGGTTAATTTATGTTAAAATAGTGTAAAGTCGACAGTAGCAGACACCTCGCCTGTTAGTGATGTTGTTTCACATCCTTTTCTGTTCTTCTCCTCATCATTTTAAGATTACAAGGGAAGCTGTCTTCATCATTTGGCACGCTGTATGCTTCCATTCACTAATTCTTTTAACCCATTTATCTCTCTTTAACTTTATCTTTATGTATGCTGTGTAAAACAGGGCTAAGTAACAAGTCCATTTGAACAAGCCACTAATGTGGTACTCCAAACTTCAGAGTTCACAGGTAGTGATGTAAACTGTGGGAGTTACTTTTTAAAAAATGTTTTCACTGATTACTTGTGTTGTCTCACATTTTGTTCAGTGTATATTTAACCAGCTGCTTTTTCACATCTTAAACCATCAGGCATATTTGTCTCACCATGTACTATGAATGTACAAATGCCATTTAACAGCAGCAACACTGATTTGTGAATTAACTGGATATAAGTCAGGATGGCGCAGTGATGCAGTGGTTAGCGCTGTCGCCTCACAGCAAGAAGGTTCTGGGTTCGACCTGGGGCCTTTCTGTCTGGAGTCTGCATGTTCTCCTTGTGCCTGTGTGGGTTCTTTACGGGTACTCCGGCTTCCTCCCACAGTCCAAAGACATGCAACTTAGGTTGATTGGTGACTCTAAACTGCCCGTAGGAGTGAGTGAGTGTGAGTGTATGTGGTTGTTTGTCTACGTGTCAGCTCTGTGATGTTCTGGCAACCTGTCCCAGGTGGACCCCGCCTCTCACCCACTGTCAGCTGGGATTGGCTACAGCCCCCCCCCACCGTGACCCTATTCAGGAATAAGTGGTATAGATAATGGATGGAAGTCCTTGTCACTTTAACCCTAAAGGTTTTGATTATGGGCATTGCCTCTATAGTAACATTTGCACAAACCACAGAAGCAAATGCTGCAGTTAAAACTATACTATATATGTGGACATGCCTTCTAACTTTGTAGCAAATGTGAACTCTGGAAAGAAATCATTTTCTAGCCCCATCCCCCATTAGTGTCCACATACTTTTGGCCATAAACCAACCCTTACTATTTTGTATTTGGGCTATTTTTGAAGCAGATAATGAAATAAATTGTGTCAATCCCAGCCTTTGTTTTCATCTCCCCTTGTGTTTTCCCTTATTTTAGACTCAGCACCTTGTCTTTGTTTGCTTCCTGCCCTGTCCCTCCTGCTCCACCCAGCTCCGCCCCCACTCACCTGCTTGTTATCAGTGTAATCAACCACTTGGTGTTTAAGTCAGCAGCCAGCAATCGTTTCTGCTCTGTTGTTGGCTGTGATGTTTTTGATCCCCTGTGCATGCATGCTTGTTCCTCACTGGCTCTGGTGAGTTGTGGTTGTTCTGTTCTACTCACCTGTGTGCAGACACTTGTATATTCCCTGGGTTTGGTCACCTTCAAGGCAAGGTAGTTTTATTTGTATAGCACATTTCATACACAGCAGCAACTCAAAGCCCCTTACACAGGCAAAGGAAAACAGCATTAAAGCCAATAAGCATTTAAACCAGAATAAAATCAATTAAGACATTGTTATAATGAAAATAAAACCAATAGACAAAGTAAAGGTCTGAAACATGACTACAGCGGTTACAGTACAGCAATAAGTTGTAAGTTGCCCTCAGTGCAACAGATGAAACAGAAGTGCAGCACAGAAACCAGTCAGACAAAGTCACAAGGAAACAGAGTTTTCAGTTCAGATTTAAAAATTGCAGCACATTGAAGGTCATCAGGAAGCTGGTTCCATCTGTATGAAGCTCAGTTTGGTTCTGATCCGTGGTTCTACTATGAAGCACAGTTTGGTTCTGATCCGTGGTTCTACTACTTACCTGTGCAATAGTTTACCTGCATTATACCTGCCATTTGCCTGTGTCCCTGTTAACTAGCGTTGTATTACTGACTTGTTGTACTTGTGCTGTGTATTAACCTGAGCCAGCTATCATACTCTATCTGCCACATAGCTCCAGTTTCAAGCCCATATTACCTGTGTCAGCAATCACCTGTGTTCCTGATACCTGTCAGTATAATTGGTGTCAGCCATTCTACCTACTGTATGTAGACCTTTAGACCTGCTTCTGAACAAGTACCCTGTTTACTTGTGCTCTGTAAGTATCGTTCAGCACTGCCTCTGTCTCTGGTCTGCATCTGGGTCCTTATCTTACAAAAGGATACAATTATTTACATCATAACGTTTTAAATACTGCTCGAACCTCAAGATTTGTCCATAGAGACGCAGCTGATATATTGGATGGTCAACTGGTAATCCGCTGTATGTTATAGGTAGAATTATCTGCCCTCTAAAGGCTTTTCCCCTGTATGATTATGAAGGCGTGTGACTTCTTCATCCTCAGTGTGTTTTGATGGATTTCATTAAGTTCTTATAAACCAGTGAGAGGTCATAAAATGGGCCACATAAGGATGTTTTAAGTGCTGTAATCTTGTTTTGTACAGAAGGCTGCTTTATTGGGGAAAAAAAAATCTATCTCCAGCATAGATATTTAGTCTGTGCTTGGATTAAAAAAAATCCTTTTTGTATTCACACACAGCTGCACAATATGTTCTGCTTGGGCAAAACAGTGAGAATAATGTGTAATAGCGATGACAGGTTTTGAAGGAAGGGGCTGATGTGTGTGGGATCCATAGCAAAGTGATTTTTGGCGTTGGTACAGTGTGGTGCATCGCTACGCGCTTTGATTTGTTTTTGTAATTTTTTTTTTTTGTCTGTGCCTCCATCACTGTGTTTTGACAAGGAGTGCTGTTTGAGTATAAGTGTGTCTTTGTGACGACAGCGCTGGAAAAGCGATCACAGCCCAGGGACACCCCCTCCTCCCAATAACCTCTGGATGTTGCCCATGGAAACCCTTTGCATGTGGTCTCTGCACACACAGACATACATTAAAACATACAAACATTTTGGTGATGGTGACAGGCGGGAAAATCATTTCAGGGTTTTGGTTCAGGTGTCCCTCTTTGTGTTTCTCTAAGTGTCTGTGACAAGGCAGGAGAGTAATGATGAGTGTGTGTGTGTGTGCAGACAGATTAAGCTCCTCTGTGGATGGATACTTGTGCTTCTGCAAATGAATAATGTGACAGAGGATATGTGCTCAATGAATCACAGACACCATCAATCAGGGTGAATATTTCCACTCACTTTTTCAAGCCAAAGTGTTTTAAAAGATCAATTATACTTCTATTGATGTTTTTAATAGAAAAGCTAAAGGTTTGTGTAAAGTGGCAACAAGCCCCAGAATTTCCATTTTGTTCTTGATTTTTGGTTTTGGACTTAAAAAGAAAAATACACATGGTCAGGTTGAGTCACTTTAGTTGTGTAGTATAAAAAGTACTAAATACAAAATTGTTTAAAAACAAGCAAGCACCTGCGAAATGAAATGTCCAAAATACTTCATGCATCTGCTTCCTGTCGGGGCGTTTTCTATGATGAATTATATGAGATAAAACGATGCCAGTTTTGGGTCCTGACGCCCTGTGGCTGTCTGGTCAGGCTGTCCTCAGCCTTGTAAATCTTGCAGTCTGAACCTGACGTTACAGAAGTTAGATCAAATGTGACTTAGGTTCACTATCAGGAAACAGAAAACAATAAGCTGAGAGACAAAGTGCTTCGTAGCGTTGAGGGGGACTGCAGGCTGTTCAGACAACTTTCAGGTGATCTATTAATTTGCATTATAGTAACTAAGTAACAAACGTGGGTTTATTTATATACAGTAGCACATTTTAAGAACAGAACATGCTTCACTATAAAACAAAACCAGACAAAATGCTTAAGAACAGTAAAAACTCTTACAAATGAACAAAGACAAGTCTAAATGCAACCTTTACTGCAGTGAAGCATTTTAATGTGAATTATTTCCACCACAGATCAACGAGGTCTTAGTTGTACTGTATTTTCTTGTATTAATCTGGATATGAAAAGTAACTAAAGTTATAAATGTAGTGGAATAAAAAGTTCAATATTTGCCAAGTATGAAGTAACAGAAAATGAAAATACTCAAATACAGATACCTTAAAATCACACTTAAGTACAATACCTCAGTGAATATACTTAGTTACTTTCCATCACTGTTGTCTGGTCCCTTTAAATGCACATAAGCCCTTCGCCAGCTGCAACATTAAATGTGATGTACACAATAATTATAACATGATGTACAGGCATGTGAACTGTACCATTCTGCATAAAGTGCCTTTAGTGTTTTAAGTATGTTTTGATGCTAATAATTTTGTAATTTTAACATTTTGAGTGCAAAGTATTTGTACACTGCGGTATTTCTACTTTTACTTTAAGGATGTGAGTACATCTACCTCTGCCAGACAACAGTAGTAAAAGTGGTTTGAGGGAGAGAAATCACATTTCATGTGAAATATCCCACAGTCACAGCGGCATATAATTTGTAGATGTATCACTGAAGTATCTGAAAAAGCACCTGTCCATATGCGACTTCTCCCACTTTGGAACCTGTGACCCTTTCTTTTTTGAAAGGGCTCAGACATAATTATACATGTCCAAAAACAAGCTCTGAATAGGTGCAAAAGTGAAATAGTTTGAAATGTGCAAATTGGACTTGCCTTGATAAATAAAACCTGGTGACATGCCTGCATCTGTCCATTGTGGCTCCTGTATATCTGAAGGACAGTGAAGTACACAAACACTGTACAGTATGTATCTGTTCTCATATTTATTGTTAATTGAGCTGGACTAAGAGCAGCAGCAAAAGCTTAAAGCAGAAAATGAGAGAGGCACTCGAGCGGCTATCAGTATCATAAAGGAACAAAAGTGAAGGAGGGCAGTGAGGGAGGAGGGATGAAAGGAGATGATTTGCAGCATTAATCCAAATTGAATTACATTGATAACATCTCTCTTTCTGGTTTCATTTCATATATTTTTCTCGTTTCATTTCAAACATCCACTTTCTGCGTTGTTGTTGTTGTTGTTCCTTGCAATCAAGGCGATATGAGACAGTTTGTCTTTGGTTAGAAAGGTAAGAGGCTGGTTGCTCACAACATGACATTTCTTTTAAAAACACAGAGCCACTAATGGACAAACAACAATCAGTAGGTATTTATTAGACTCTCTTCTCTCTCTCTGTCTCCTATTCTCTGTTAATAGTGTAAATTAGCATATAAATGAGAGAGAGCATGTGATAGAATCCACTCTGCTTCAATCTGTCCATTGGGACTTATGATTATCTCTTTCTCCTCCTTTCTTTGCTTCTTATTACTCTTTTCCTCCTCTGCCTGCCTTTCCCCATCTTCCTCCACCCTCTTGACAGATAATTATACCTTTCTTCTAATTGTATTTGAGGACTGCTCTTGCTTTTATTAACCGATACAGTTAAAGTGAGTCATTTGCTCTGTTTGTGATTATTTGTTTACCTGGATGTGTGCTCAGGCTGCCTCTGTGTGTGGTTACTTTAAGCGTACTTAATTGCTCTTGACTAATTAGCAGATGAGTCGAGGCATTTGGGAGATAGGGTGCGCACATACACAGAGACATTAATACACACATTTCTAGCACCTTTTTGTCTATGTCTTAAGTGTTCGTCTCGTGTTTCTTCCCTCTCTTGGCTTTGTGTCCCCAGACAGTTGAAGCACAGCGGTACGTAGCAGGAGGTGTTAATGATGTGAGGGCTCTGTGGTCTCTGCTGGGAGCGATCTGTTGTGTGTTAGCTGCTGTCTGTCACCGCACCAGTAGAAAAACATCTTCATAGTTCCGTGTGTCTTCGTGTAGAGCGTGTTTGTGCCAGCATCTGGTTTTCCACTTTTCAGCTGCTCTGCATATTAAAACTCATGAATCTCCCTCCTGCCGTCCTTGCCAAATAACACTCAGACAAGTTTATTAGGGTGTGTGTGTGTGTGTGCATTTGTATGCGTGTCCATCTATTTATTTGAGGCCTTTGCTTTGTGTCACTGTTCCATTTTTATAATTCGGATTTGTTGGTTGTCCCTATGCTGCGTGTGTGTGTGTGTGTGTGTGTGTGTGTGGGAGGTGATGTTGGGCTGTGTGAGGGCCTCAGCTCCTCATAATTGTTGGTAAGTGTTGTGGGAGACTTTCTGCTTCTACTTCACTACTGTAGATGTCAGGAAATTGATCTGCTGTATTTACCTACTGCATGTACTAGGTGTTTGCACATTAAGCCGTTAACCTAGATGGCTTAGAGAAAATGGTTCTGCACAGGGCGGCCATTCACTGGACCCATTTAGCAACACTTATTAGTGGGTCCCTGATTAAGATTGCTTTTAAAAAAGTCAGAAGGTCTTAATGAGTCATATAAAGACAAAAGTCTATAATGGAAAGTTTATTGCCGCTGCTTTATT